ACCATTTGGAAGAGGCAATTATGAAGTTGCTCGCCTCATGCAATTCTGTTCGTGCCAAGAGGTTCAGATTCAAAAAATATATTCGTGCCAACAAGGATGATGTACGACTGACCACTGTGTGGAAAATCGTACGGTAGCGTAGCGTACGACTGCAAAATACACCGTCCTCCGCTTTGGTTGGCAGTTGGCACGTTTCCGATGTCATATGATTAACCAAGTAGAAGTATCATACATTACGAACTCGTACCTACTACAGTACTGCACTTTAACAGAAAATCATATGCGCAAAAACTTCGCGCCAAAATAAAATTCACAMAGAAAAAGTACAGTAAGTAGAAGTACGAGTACGTACTTTACTTYGTTACGTAAACGGTGAGATATTGTAATGCGGTATTATAATGTACTACGCGTAGTAAAGTTCTTCAAAACCGTAGGTAYCGTACGTACATTACGTACAAATTTCTTCCAGGGCCAACAAGTACAGTCTCCKGYATCTACTCGTACCGTTCGTACCGTAATTCTTGCTGCTTCCTTTTGAGTTACAACATCAACCAATTCAAAGGGAAAGAGTGCGGTTTTGATCCAATACTGCTGTTGTAGTTTCGAACACACCAACAGAATCTGCTATCCTATGGCGCCGTCTTATCGAAGAAAATAATWACTCATTTTATCTTGAGGCAACATGGACGAACTCCTGGAGCTAATGAACGACGATGCTGTCGACCCACAATCGGCTGTGCATCAATTAGAAGACGATTCGGATGAAATACAGGAAGAAATACMAAAGGGTCAAATTCCTAGGACCAGAACTTGTAATAAGCGGGACAGACCAGAGGAAGATAGAGCTTCATCGACTCGGGCGTATAAAAAACAATCAAAACCTTCTAACCGACAACACAAAGCCAATCTCGCCGAGGCATCTGTAGATGATCGCCTTGGAATCCGAATGTCAAATCGTCTGGTCTCTAGTAATGATCTGTCCGAGCTTATAACAGACTATACATATCATTCACCATCTGTTCTCAGTGCAATGACTCTCCAACACTTGAACTTGCTATTACAGGATCCTACGCGGATCATCGACGCTGCAACAGTAGCTGGTAAAACCGAGAGCCTAGTTACCATTGGTATCGTCTTCTCAAACACTGGAACCCGCATCAGCAGCAACGGAGGTGCATTTTCTGTATTGACGATTGGTAACTTGAATTCGGGTCCTTGCCTGACGATCTTTTTATTTGGAGAGGCCTATGGGAAGTACTGTACTTCCTGCAAGCAAGGAAAAGTAATCGCACTGTTATCTCCGACTCTCCTACCAGCGAATCGAAGAGACGGCGACAATCGAGAAAGCAACAGCAATACTGTCTCCTTTTCTGTTTACAATGCTAGCCAAATAAAAATTGTAGCAAATGCTAGAGACTATGGAATCTGCAAAGCTACGACCTCTTCTCGTGTCAAACAAAGTGATGGAAAATGGGCAGTAATTGCCGGCAAGCCATGTAAGCATTACGTCAACAGAGAAATATCCGAATACTGTGAATATCACCGAAAGAATCGACAGAGTGGAATGAGACAAGGACCAAACAAGTTTCAACAACTGCGAGCTATCCATCAGGAAACTGCTCCGATGGTTGTTGCCACTCCTGCTCGCAGAGGAAATTTGATAGGGTCGAATACGAGCACGAAACCAAATCGGTTTCTGAACCACACCTCGTTTAACAACGATCGCTCGAGAATATTACAAGCGAAACCATGTAGCAACACAGGTAGCGGCAGCGTAATGCCATCTATCGGTGGTAATTGTGGAAATATACCAAAGCACATGACAAGACAGCTCCCAAATAAGTTTTTACCAAAATCAGCAACAAGCAAAGGAAAAGATAGACGTATCAGAGGGACTACGAAGTTGGAGTCTTTTGACCACGAGAATAGAAGGGCGGGTAGCACTGTCTACTCTGTTTCAGCCAATGAGCACCCCGCTGATCCCAGTCGCACTCGCTCTAAGACTTCTGTTTCACGAACAAATTGGATGGAAGAGGCAGCTGCCGCGACCAAAAAGCGAGGTCCTTTGCACATGGGAGGCGGTCGTCGTGGATTCTCACTTTCTCAATTTCAAGAAAAGCGTCGTACTTCAACAGCTGGTAATGCCAGTTTTGTCACTCCTGCGAATCGCAACAGAAAAACTGCTTCGATCAATACTGTAGGGTTGGGCTATGATGGTACGGTATTCGTTCCAAAAGAGAATAAAATATTATTTCAGCAATCCGCTTCAATACAGGAAATACCTGCGAAAAGAATGGTTACACCTATAAACGAATCTGATCGAACAAAACAACTTCGGCAACAACAAGCAGAGGTTGCACAACGACTGCAAGAAAGTACGACGAAAGAGAAAAGTTCGGGCCTATCCAGTGCTCTGGTAAACTCATCAAACGTAAAGCAATCAAGCCGATGTCGCAAGGGTGTCACGTCCGAGAAAGGGAGGAAGAGCGACAATTGTGAAGTTGATGCATTCCTTGCTGCTATGGGCGGAGCGGTAGACGAGGATAAAGTTCGGAGTGCGAAAAGCAGATTTGCCAACGAAGTCGCCGCGGATGAGTACGTCAAAAATCGTCGCAAGTTACTTGAACTGGAAAAACTCGAGGCCTCCAATGAGTCGCGGAACAAGAAAAAACATCAAAATGCTGAACAGCGCATGACGAAAAACTGGTATTGCTTCAACTGTCGACAAACTTATAATCAGAGACCAGGGAGGTGTATATCGTCAAACCACAATGTTAAGAATCGTTTCGGTCTCAAAGAATCGACCTCAAAAGATGAAGAGAGAAATGCATTGCACAAGAAAAGTGTCCAAGACGGTGGACTGCATCTTGGATCTGGTATTGAATGGAGAGATTMTGGTAGGTTCAGGACATRAGCCAATATTTTTAAAACTTAGTCTGCAATWCCATGAATATGCTATTACTAAGCAATCTGAGTGCAATAAACCAATGGAATGCGATCTATGCCTCCGATTCGCAATGTTCCTCGTACGCAGTAGAATCCATCAAATCATTAACCTCGCTTGTATCCTTCATTTCGATTTTAACAAACCATGCTGTATCTTCTGCGGATGAGTTCACAAGCTCTGGTGAGTCCTCCAGATTCTCATTGACTTCAATAATTGTACCGGAGGCAGGGGCGTACACATCTGAAGCAGCCTTTACAGATTCAACGCTTCCAAACGAGTCTCCTGCGTCGAACTCGTCTCCTACAGCTGGCAAGTCCACAAAGACGATGTCACCAAGTGCACTCTGAGCGAAATCGGTGATTCCGCAAGTTCCGATATTTCCCTCTACCTTGATGTATTCATGAGCTAGTACAAAAGAGAAGCAGACAAACAATATCGAAAATCATATTTAGCATGATGGAATGGAAGAAAGTCGAAATGCTTTTGACACCTGCCTAATACCTACCAGGCGTATAGTAGCTCGAGAGTCGGATAGCTCCAAGCTGTGGGGAAGCGGTCTTTGTTCGTAATGTAGATGCCAAAAGATGGCGACCCATTGTGCGAGCGAATCGAGAAGAAGATGACATGATCGACGTTTACTCCTTTGGAATTACGACACTAAGGAAGTGAGGTTTTGTAATGGATAATGTTTTCGTGAAGATAATTACAGTACGGTACCGTGTCGCTATCTCGAAATATCCCTTCTGTTACAAGATCTCATCTTGTCGTTGTTCGTTTTTAATCCAATTACATTRCACGGGTGGGTAAGAACACYCAGCAGMGCCACCGCCCGTACCGTAGTGCTGCACCCAACGGTASGAGTACGTAGCATACCGTATGGTAAGYRGTAAGTACTTGTACCGTACTTGCTGTAGTGAACGGGAACGTGAAGGAAATCTACATGCACGTTCGCGTTGCCTACGGTAGTAMSAACCGCTACGAACCTTCGGGCCTACCGGAATTTCTGCAAGATTCTCGTTTTCCTCTTTATCCATAACTCTACCGGTAGTATTGATAGGAAAAGTAGGAATGATCTTGATAGTCCAAAAGGAGGGCACTTCATCATTGCAAGACTGATTACATTTGGGACAAGCATTTTGGCAAGATTCAAGAATCAACAAGAAGAAACAAAGTAAAAGGTTACTACTACTACTAGCACTAGTACTCTGATGATTGGAGAGCCAGCAAGAATGAGCAGCAGGACCCCACCACCAAGAAACAGGACCAGTGGTGGAATTCTTCTTCTTGTTCTTGTTGTTCTTCTTCTTATTCTTGCTGCTAGTCCTGCTGGTGAGGAGGTGACCACTACCAGCAGCAGTGCTGCTGCTAGATGAGGAGTGACAACAAGAATAGCTCTACTGCAGCAGCATCTGCTGATAGTGACTTCACAGAGGAGGACCCTACCACCTTATGATGATTATTCAGTGACAGGTGGAAACAGAGCAACAACAAGCTACAGCATCTTTCAATCCTTGACAACTCATCCTCCTGATCAGGAGCATATCATGAAGGAATCAAGTACTAATTTAGAGTGGCTTATGTACATGTACCATCCTGAAACTTCACCCTTGGAAATGGATGAGAGCTGCAAAACCCAGCATTACAACAAGAACTCTCTTCTGCAATGGTGTAGAAATAAGAAGAACAATAAATTTCCAACATTGACTGCTCTACTAGTARTACTAGAAACAAGGAAGTATCATCTTGCTGTTCAACCAATAGTATCTTCTCCTTTGTCACAAACAAGGATATTTAGTATGACACAGAGGGCCTTGTGATCAGTGAACTAGTACTACTAGTACTACATAAATAGCTTAATCATGATATTAACAAGCTGCTGTAGGACTGTCACCCAAAACAACCAGCACAACCACCACCAGCAACTAGAAAGAAGAAGGAGTAGTAACAGAGTCTTGCACACCAAGTTGTGCCCTGGGGGGCCCTCCTCTTGTGGTGCACAAAAAACTATTGGTTGACACATCATTGAAAGCTCATCTCCTGTGTAAACTTAGGGACAAAAAAGCAAAAAAACAATAAGAGTATGCACATGCTGCTTCTTGACAATTTTTGTTGACCCACCAATAATAACAAGCTTGCAACACCAGAAGTAAAAGTGGTGTGAGTAATGCCAAGCAACAATCAATAAAAGAATTTTACCAGCACTAGATTGCTCAAAACAAYTTTTTGTACAACTATGAGAAACTGGTGCCTCATAATATCACAAGACAGGCATTTAGCAGTAGGATTTCTGCACTGTCTGTAGGATATYGTATCATGGGTATGATTCATATATATTAAAYATACCTATTACACATACCTATGATTCATAAACACTCTACATTCAMAACTACTAAATTCCATCCTATGAATCCACACAATTGACTTGATTCATTTGATTCACTCATGTGACTGACTTGACTCTTTCAATTCACACACATCACTCCATATTCATTCTGATTGATTTTAGATTTTGTAGATTGTCAATCCTCGATAAGAGCATTGACTCACTTTTCTTCTAGTACTCAATTTAGTACATYACTATTAGATAGTCACTCCCACAGGTTATGACACCACCCTTCCAATAAAAATCACAACCACCATGGTGACTTGTTCGGTGTGCTCTCTCCTCACACAACTCTATCAAATGCAATATGTTGCCGTTGCCGTTGCCGTTGCCGTTGCCGTGAAACTCTTACATCAATAATCCTTGAAGCTCCCCATGAAAACCAACCCTTTTGCAAAAACAACAAAAAACCCTTTGCAAAGTCACCTCATAAAACATCTTTTGATTCAAATCAAAACATATTTTATTCCCAGTTGTCTCTTTCATCCTAATTTTCAAGACTTCACGACTTCCTTTCATCATGMCTCTGACATCACCCGTATCAACAATCTCATCAAAAACAAAACATCGCYTATGGTGGCCACTGCCAATAAAACAGTCTGCAAGCTTGGAAATGATATTWGTCTTCTCACCTGTGGTCTCAAATATGTTCCCAAATCTGAGAACAAAAAGACTCTCATCCTATGTATTAACTGGTCACCCATTTACATCGACACAAGACAAGTCTCTTAYAATGTATACAACTTAAACATTTTTTTGGATACCCCATTCCCTCCCCTGGTTAACCTGGCAAACCAAATCCACACTAACACTACAACTCAACCACTTGCTGTTGATCCAAATCTACAACAACAGTTGCTGTAMTACCTGGAATCAGATGAAGTGTCTAATCATTGTGCTAGCTTATCTCTACTGTGCTTGGACTTTAAAATCCCACCAATCAAATTATGGATTTTCATTAGTCCGCGGTCAGAAATTATCTCTGTTTTGCTCCTTGTATTCAATATTAAAAGTGYATTCTATTCCTTTGAGGGTAGAGCAATTTTTTTGGAGTTTACGAACGTCAGCCAACCATTCCAGAAGACAGACAAAACATTCATATAAAGCACCCTATATTCCATTGGTACAAACCAAAAGTTGACGGCATTTGCCAACGGCCAAAATCTCCAAGCCCCGAACAGAGATGAGAGGAATCTGGTTCGCACTTTTTCACTTGCGCCTTTGAGTCCAGTTCCCTCCAGGATACTTCTAACAGTGAAGTAGCCTGGGCATTTGGTGGCAGAGTTGAAGTGCGTGGGGGTCATAGGAGTTCGTGAGTAACGTTGTTGAACATGTCATGCTGTTTATAGGCACAACATCGTTGCTCGTCGAATCGGGTTCTGATTTGCATTCTGAACAAAGTAAAAAATTCTTACCTGTAAGTGTTACCGAACTGAATATAGTGGAGTCTAAAATAAGTTTGATAACGAGTCCGATTGCAGGATCTTGTATGTTTGCGGCTTCAGCAATAGCTTTGTACATTCTGTTGRCAGTTGAAGCATGAAAAGAAGACATCGAACATCTGGTGAGCAAAARTAATGAAACATGTCCGTTCCCAAAAACCAAGGTCTTCTCTTGAAAATAGATGGACTAAGATTTACTCTCTAGTCGAATTACTACTCACTTTTCTAAGACAATATACCAGAAGTGCGTAATAGGACCAGACCAAACGGCGCCAGTGATTGCGGTGTGGAGAACCCGAGTTGAATCCAACTTTGAAGTCCTTTCCTCTTTCGGAGTGGCACTAATCACGACCTTCTGACACATAACATCGGACACTCCTGCAATACAACTGGAGGTAATAGACTTTGTCACCAAAGGCTTGGCTATCAACATCGACTTGTACCACGTCCAGGCACCCGACGCAGCGGCGGCGGCAGGTGCGACTTGCAATCCCTCACAGACGTTGTGAGGGGACGAAACGAATGCCAGTGTCAACAGGAGACAGATCGTGTGAGAACGGAAAAGATTCGTTTGTAGCATCATTCTTTGAACTGTGTGTTGTTAGATCGGGAAACGGATTGTTTGTTTGGCGTTTGTTTGAAAGGAGTGGCTAATGCTGTAGCGTCTTGAAGTTTCGCATTAAATTCCACCAAATTTGTACAGCGCTCGAATTGGTTCTGGTACGTACCGCACGTACGTAGTCACTTCAGGAGTTCACAACAACACATGACGAAACATCCTTTTCGATTTTATTGGTACTCGTACGTACGGTAGGAGTTCTACCMATCAGAATTGGGCCGAGATCGTACTCGTCAGAATTGGGCCGAGATCGTATGACTCACTCAACGCTTTTTGTTTCACCGCGATCATTCTCAATTTCCAATTCGACACGACTTCCATATTTTCCGTTTTTTTTTTGCGACTGAACCGCCGCTGCTCGGAAAAGGAACGCCGTTKTTTATCCTGATTGGTCAAAACAACCTGAGCGAAGATGACACCTGAAACAAMGCAATACTTTCAACCAGGTAAGACTATGTAATTTTGATTCGCCAATACAGTACAGTATTAACAAGACATGTATTACAGTACTGTGTTACTGTACTCTATTGTATTTAAAAATCTCTTTTSACATGTTTTTGTTTTCAATGTTTCAGAATACTCTRTCGTACATTCAAAATTACTAAAAACAATTCGAACTAGAAGTACAGTACAAAAAACACTTCGACCCGTTACATAGATAGTCCTGCTCGTGCTCGTACATTCGTAGTCGTCCACTATTAATTCTGCAGTCAAAACGGAACAATACCGGTATCCGTAGACAGCACGGCATTACGTATTCGAGATCACACGCAGAAAAATCTCAGATCGCTTKTATTTCGGATTTTTGTTTCTATTTTTCTCTGATCTTAACAATGCATAATKCGGTCCGTGTTCTTTTCCTTCTGGATGAGTGCTGGGCACATGCTGTTAYAGAAAATAGCACAGTCTGTTTCAAGGTTTGGTCGATATCAAGATTGAAGATAGAAATTGGAAATTCAAAAACATGACGCGAAGACTGGAACGTTCGACCAAAAAAACAGCAGGCGATGCCGTAGAGGATGAAGAGGCAGACTGTACTGACGAAGAAAAGGGCATCACTTCCGAAAATGAGATGTGCGATTGCAACATCCCCGCGAGATTCGTTTGYCCTCTCACTTTAGAAGTTTTCACGGATCCTCTCATGTCACGTCGTGGTCTTACTTTTGAACGCAAGGCCATAACCGAGTGGCTAGATCGAGGGAACGATACGTGTCCATTGACAAGGGAGCCGTTGGGATACCGAGGACTGGTMCCAAACGTCAAGTTACGTCTGGAAGTCGAAGCATGGAAACTTGAGCATGGTTATAAAATAAAGCCATGCGATGCGGAAGAAGAAATGAAAAGGCGACAGCTCTGTTTCGTAGAAGTGACATCTGCCCTTTTGTTCTACGGACATGAAGGCAATAGAGAAACCGTTTCTCCCCTTCCTAATTTCTCTGGTATCAACCGAAGCCGTCATGCATCACGGCGACGGCGCTCGCAGTCTCGCCCAGATTTCAATTCGACAAGACATAGGAGGCAAAGATTGATCTCTTTCATCGGAGAAGCCTTGAACACGATTCGGCGTGCTCCAGCTGACGATAACTGAAACGCACCGATTGATTTTTGACCTGTCCTTTCTGAACAAGGATGGCAGAATCACAGTACCATAGCCGTCGCATTTTGTTTGGAGATTGCATTGTGGTGATTCAAAGAAACAAAAGATAAACTCAACCAAAAACGAAATGACAACATTCCAAACCCTCGATTGTAGAACTTGGGGGCCTGAGACCTCTTGAAAAGGTGTAAAATTTGATTCGGTCGCTAAAGCAGGTAGTTTCTAGGTTGCAAAAAATAAGTTAGTACCAGCAAGGTTCAAAAGTGCTAGTCTGAAAAGAATTTAGAAGCTAATAAAGGAAAGCACTCTGGCTGTTTGYTGTTTCTGAAATAGGAATGGAACTCATTAGTTTGTTGTGTATGTTGGGTATTGATACTGGTGTTTCTTTTTGTAAGAAGAGGTCGTGTTCTTACAAACAGACCACTGGAACAAGTTCYAACTCTTGAAGAAGCACTTTACRAAATCAATTGCTTGTGTAAGACCAAGTTAAACCAACACATTTTCAAAAAATCCACCCTGTAACCTGTGACCAGTTCTTGCATTGGCAATAGTAATTGGGAATAAAGCTAAATGTATTACCCTGTGACYTATTTGAATTGGATGGGTAATTTTTTATTCATATTGTTGTGGGCATTGAAATTTAGCCATTGCTGCTATGTTTTGAGAAGTTTAAGTGATCACTTCTCTGAGTTTTCTTCTTCAAGGACCACCTCTATCCATTCAACACTCTCAGCATCTACACATTGATCAAAATATCCATCAGTGTTGATGATTTCACAATCATGGTACAACTTTTTCCTTTTGACAGACTTGAATGTGCACATGGCTCCATTTGCTTTTGATTTTTCAACATCTCTGTTGTCATTAATTATGACAGGTTTACCAACATACAGTTTAAGCATTGAATCTATCCTTTTGGAAGATTTGGTTCCACCTGCAACAATACTATTAGCTTCTGATGTGGCAGTTAGTAAGCAGCAGTATTTCTAAAATATCCTGTATATCTCTGTATTTTCTTGTTTTGTCAATCTCTAGTCTTAGGGTTGAGGCCTTGATTACAATAGTAGTGTGATCTGGTAACCTGTCATTGATATTTTTTAATTATTCCATGTTGAGAAACTCAAAAAGTA